CACCCATTTTTTAATAGGGTTATTTGCTTTTTGGGTGTTGAGGCGTGTGAGTTCTTTATATATTTTGGATGTTAACCCCTTGTCAGATATGTCATTTACAAATATATTCTCCCATTTTGTAGGATGCCTTTTTGTTCTGTTGATCGTGTCCTTTGCTGTACAGAAGATTTTTAGCTTGATGTAGTCCCACTTGTTCATTTTTGCTTTTGTTTCCCTTGCCTGAGGAGGTGCATTCAAGAAAAAGCTGCTCATGTTTGTATTCAAGAGATTTTTGCCTATGTTTTCTTCGAAGAGTTTTATGGTTTCATGACTTACATTCAGGTCTTTAATTCATTTTGAGTTTACTTTTGTTTAGGGGATTTGTTTGATCTTTTCATACCCCCTTTTGTATGTTCTGGGACACTCCATCCTTGCCCTTTAATCTGGCTAGCTCACGACTGAGGTCTCAGCTTGCACATCCGTTCCTCTAGTAGGCTTTCATTCTATTAGACAAGAGTACCTACTCTTCTCCCTTACACAAAACACCGATCACACTAACTCTCTACTTACCTCTAAGCCCTGTGAGAGCACACCTGTCTTGTTCACTGCTATATTCCCAGCACCTTGCCCAGTACCTGGTGATAATAAGTGTCCAACAAATATTTGTTGACTTGAATTACCCATGGATTTCTTTTCTCTCTCATGCATAATAATATATTAACAAATGCTAGGTATTTAATATATTCCTATTTAAAGGAAAAAAGATGGTAAGAATTTATGGAGGGTTCATTTGTGAGCACAGAAATGAGCATGCAAGGATGATGGCTGGTGAGACAGTGTCCTGCAGAACCACGGGACCTGGTGTATAAAGCATTCGTCTATTGGCTCTTTGCTCTCTCCTTTCCTTCTCCAAATAATTTACTGAGACCTACTATGTAAAGACACTGGAGACAGGGCAGTAAACAGAATGAAGTGCCTATCCTCAGTGACTTAACTTATAGCATAGTGGGGAAGATAGAATATTAACAAATAAACAAAGGATACAATATCAGGCAGCAATATGTGCTATACAGAAAAATCAAAAATAGAGAAAGTAAATAGTAACCGAGTATGGGTTATGAGTTGACTCTCCCAAACAGGATGTGCAAGGAAGGCATCTCTGAGGAGATACTTGATCAGAGACCTGAGGGAAGGGACAGGTGGAGCTGTTTGCACAGCTGAAAGGAGATTGTTATTAGCAGAGGTAATGACATACATAAATCCTGAGACAGAAACCATACTTAGCGTGCTTACAGAAGAAAAACTGGGGGTAAAGGGTGGTAAGACAATAGATGAATGATTAGGGGGCAGGACATGGAGGGCCTCATGAACCAGCGTAAGGAGGCCTCAGGATTTTATCTTGGGTGTGATGGGAAGATTTCAAACACCAGAGTGACATAATCCACCTTCTTTTCTTTCAGCGTTGACTAAGCATCTGTTACGTGCTTGACGCTGTGCCAGACTTACTTTCTTCATCACACATTGATTCGCCCTCTTCTATGCTCCATATAAGTACTAGCACATTTGTACCCTTGGAACAAGCCTCAGACTCTCAAGCCTTTGCACAAATTGTTTCCTGTGTAGCTGTCAAGCCTCAGCTAGAATAGCAGCCCTTTCGTGAAGCCTGATTTTCTTTGGGCTCCCACGGCACTCCTTTCTGCCTTTGTCACAGTAGTTATAATTGGCAATGAGTACATCAGTTCCTCCCACCAGGCCATAAGTCACAAGCACGTCTTATTTTTGTCTAAGACCATGATATGAGTCATTTCTTCCCTTTACACTTGTACCAAGAATCCATTTTAGGGGCTATTTTAAGCATAAAATGATATACATGATACGCTAAGAGAAACTAGTTCAGTGGCCTAGGAAAGAAAGATACTCATTGAATCTAACAAAATATCATAATGACAAAAATGTTTAATAAAGCATTTTGTCATTCATGAAATTTAATAAAAGATTTAGTGAACATCATGGAATCTCAGACCTGTAACTGCCCTGGTAGGCTTTTAGTCGGCCTCTCCTTGTCGAGCCAGAGAATCCCGGGGCTAATAGGCTAGGATGTCGCCGAGGCCTCTGCGGGGGATGAAGAGCAGGAGAGGGGAGAGCGGTGCTGGCAGCTCCCAGACGCAGCTCCCAGATGCGGAACGGCCCCCTGCGTGCTCGCACCCGCGCGCCGCCGCCTCACGCACGCCTCTGCTTGTGCCTGGCGCTCGCCTCCGCAGGCGTCCTCTTCCCTTTGCACCTGGGTCTGGCAGATCGCAGCCACATTTGGAAGCTCCTAGATTCACTCCCGCGCTTCTTCCCCTAAAAGAAAGAGGCATGGAAGACTGTGCTAAAAGCAAGGCCCAGGGACTACTCAGAATAAAGAAGTGCACTTCAGTGTTTCTCTCCTGCTACTTAGCTAAAAAATACGCATGAGGCACAGAGGCAAGCCCAAACCTTCCCATAGTGTGAGGCACACCCAAAGTTGAGTGAATGAATGAATGATTAAGTAGAATAATAGTAGATGTAAATAAAGAGACGACACATTTGAAAAAGCAAAGAATAATATTGAGAGGCTTTAATTTTTTTTAATTTAGTAGAAAGATATGAGACAAAATACATTTAGTGGCTTAATAAGGAAAATGTTAAGCAGGATTTTAAATGGCAAAGCTATATAAATAGACATACTTAGGGACTATTTCTTACATATAATTAGTACTCAAAATTTTATGCAAAATTTCCATTATACTTTTACCTTAAATATTGCCAGATATTTCAGAAAGGGCTGAACTTGCCCTTTACCATTATGCCAACCTTCTCTTTTCTTTTGCTCAGTTCATCAGTAAGCCACTGAGTTTAGAATGGATATGTCTATAAGCACAGCTTACTAATGTGAGTGTGAGTATTAAAACAGAAAGGATCTCTGATGTAGATGTTATATCTCAATATGATGTTTTATCAGTTATAGTGTGTTAATGTTCTGGATTTGGGACAGTAGTAACATCAGAAAGGGTAGTGGGTCTTGAAAAGCATCCTTACAAATTATAATCTCTATTCATTTATACATCTTTGCAAATGTTAATAGAAGCAAGAATATTTTCTCAGATCTCAGTAGAAAAATCTCTTTAGACATCACCAGTATTTCACATGTGCTTGATACTGATCCAAAAAATAGAAGTGCTCTTTTTGTAGCCAACATACTTACTATATTCCCTTATTCTTTAAAATTTCCCTGTTGGCCCTAAATACCAAGAAATTTGTAGCCACAACTTATAATGGAACAAGTGAGCTTCACTAGCTGTTAATTATTACAAGATTTAGAAGTTTGTACCCCTAGGCACAAAATCTACTTGTTATAGTTATGTGTAATAATAAATTCTTTGGGTATTAAGAATTTTATGTGAGACTTAATTTAAAACAGCTTGTGACTTCGCCAGTGCAAGTCAGTGCTGCCCGAGAACCCAAGGGCCCGGGGGAAAGCCCGGGATGCTTTGCAAGTTGCTTTACTAAATATCGTCTGGTTTCTTTAAGTCTCAAAGAAAAAAGAAATGAACATTTCTTGATCACCAACAGTGTATCAAGCATTCATAAGCACCTTATACACATTTGATCCTCCCCACGGCCATAAGAGGCAATATGATTCCCAATTTACAGATGGACGTCATGAGCTTAGGGCCCAAGCAATGAAGCCAGGATCTGAACAACATCTGACCCAACACCCACTCTACCTCGTGTAACTTCATGAAGTCACCATAAAAGTCCTCATGTACTTTTCCTGCCTGACCTAATTACTGAGCGCTCCCTGCAAACTTCATCTCTGATCGGAGCCCTTGGAAATGGGCTGCATCTGCATCATGTTTCTTAAGAAATATTTTTTGAATGGGTAGCATGAAAATATACCTCTAGTCAATGCTTTAAAAATATTCAACTATTAAAATGAATCTGGAACAACAGAAAGCAGAATTTGCACAGGTTGAAGCTTTTAAGTGGGACTTAAATTTGTTTTCCACATTCCTCCTGTCAGTCAGGCTCTCCCGGCACTCAGGCATGATCTCAGGCCATCTGCACATGTGCATGGTGGCTCCTCGCCTCTGTTCCTGAAACCTTTTTCTCTTTTCTTTCTGTCACTGTTCCCATTCCTCTATGTGGCTGCTTTTGTATCCTGTTATTATTGGATTTACTCAGGTTCCCTCCACAGACCTGTTAACACCTCCCCCTTATCCATGTCTACCGAATATCTTTCCTGTTCTTGAGTGTTCAGTCACCACTGCCAAAACTGTTCTGGAAGTAGCCTTGGTAAGTGGGCCAGCCCAGAAGACCAGCAGTTTCTGAAGTTCATAACGCCTTGAGCAAACAAATTATTTAATGACTCACTCCTTTTGTGACCCCTCATAAAAGAAAGAAAATTGTTATATGGTGAGAAAATGGAAGCAATTAAGTACTTAAAGTATTCAGTAATTGTTGAGATGGGTTTGGTCTGCACAAATGATTGCTTTGATGTTAGGAGAAGGATGATGTTTGTTAAGTGTAAGTTTTCATTAAAAGAAATGTATCTTCATTAGAAAAATTCAAAGAGTTAAAACCCTTCTAATGGTTAAATTGTGCACTTAATTCTAATTATAGCCCTATGACATTAGTCCTTAACATAGTCACAATATTTTTTACACAGAATAGTACTTGATTTAGTAAAAAGTTTGAATTGCATATTTTTTAATAAGAATGTATTAGTACTTTTAAGCCCCTACAGTAACATGACATTAGTTTTACAGGAATCCTAAGCATCTGTACTAGGTAAGGATTCACTATTTTGATTTAAAAACTGTTGCACTTAACAAGTAGCTTGGACTTGAAAGTAATTTGTCTTAGTAATTTGCTCTATCAAGAAGAAAATTTTTAATTAGCAGAGATAAACATTATAGCTAAACCAAAAGTGAGCCTAGCTAAGAGAAACTAGTTCAGTGGCCTAGGAAAGAAAGATACTCATTGAATCTAACAAAATATCATAATGACAAAAATGTTTAATAAAGCATTTTGTCATTCATGAAATTTAATAAAAGATTTAGTGAACATCATGGAATCTCAGACCTGTAACTGCCCTGGTAGGCTTTTAGTCGGCCTCTCCTTGTCGAGCCAGAGAATCCCGGGGCTAATAGGCTAGGATGTCGCCGAGGCCTCTGCGGGGGATGAAGGCAGGAGAGGGGAGAGCGGTGCTGGCAGCTCCCAGACGCAGCTCCCAGATGCGGAACGGCCCCCTGCGTGCTCGCACCCGCGCGCCGCCGCCTCACGCACGCCTCTGCTTGTGCCTGGCGCTCGCCTCCGCAGGCGTCCTCTTCCCTTTGCACCTGGGTCTGGCAGATCGCAGCCACATTTGGAAGCTCCTAGATTCACTCCCGCGCTTCTTCCCCTAAAAGAAAGAGGCATGGAAGACTGTGCTAAAAGCAAGGCCCAGGGACTACTCAGAATAAAGAAGTGCACTTCAGTGTTTCTCTCCTGCTACTTAGCTAAAAAATACGCATGAGGCACAGAGGCAAGCCCAAACCTTCCCATAGTGTGAGGCACACCCAAAGTTGAGTGAATGAATGAATGACTAAGTAGAATAATAGTAGATGTAAATAAAGAGACGACACATTTGAAAAAGCAAAGAATAATATTGAGAGGCTTTAATTTTTTTTAATTTAGTAGAAAGATATGAGACAAAATACATTTAGTGGCTTAATAAGGAAAATGTTAAGCAGGATTTTAAATGGCAAAGCTATATAAATAGACATACTTAGGGACTATTTCTTACATATAATTAGTACTCAAAATTTTATGCAAAATTTCCATTATACTTTTACCTTAAATATTGCCAGATATTTCAGAAAGGGCTGAACTTGCCCTTTACCATTATGCCAACCTTCTCTTTTCTTTTGCTCAGTTCATCAGTAAGCCACTGAGTTTAGAATGGATATGTCTATAAGCACAGCTTACTAATGTGAGTGTGAGTATTAAAACAGAAAGGATCTCTGATGTAGATGTTATATCTCAATATGATGTTTTATCAGTTATAGTGTGTTAATGTTCTGGATTTGGGACAGTAGTAACATCAGAAAGGGTAGTGGGTCTTGAAAAGCATCCTTACAAATTATAATCTCTATTCATTTATACATCTTTGCAAATGTTAATAGAAGCAAGAATATTTTCTCAGATCTCAGTAGAAAAATCTCTTTAGACATCACCAGTATTTCACATGTGCTTGATACTGATCCAAAAAATAGAAGTGCTCTTTTTGTAGCCAACATACTTACTATATTCCCTTATTCTTTAAAATTTCCCTGTTGGCCCTAAATACCAAGAAATTTGTAGCCACAACTTATAATGGAACAAGTGAGCTTCACTAGCTGTTAATTATTACAAGATTTAGAAGTTTGTACCCCTAGGCACAAAATCTACTTGTTATAGTTATGTGTAATAATAAATTCTTTGGGTATTAAGAATTTTATGTGAGACTTAATTTAAAACAGCTTGTGACTTCGCCAGTGCAAGTCAGTGCTGCCCGAGAACCCAAGGGCCCGGGGGAAAGCCCGGGATGCTTTGCAAGTTGCTTTACTAAATATCGTCTGGTTTGTTTAAGTCTCAAAGAAAAAAGAAATGAACATTTCTTGATCACCAACAGTGTATCAAGCATTCATAAGCACCTTATACACATTTGATCCTCCCCACGGCCATAAGAGGCAATATGATTCCCAATTTACAGATGGACGTCATGAGCTTAGGGCCCAAGCAATGAAGCCAGGATCTGAACAACATCTGACCCAACACCCACTCTACCTCGTGTAACTTCATGAAGTCACCATAAAAGTCCTCATGTACTTTTCCTGCCTGACCTAATTACTGAGCGCTCCCTGCAAACTTCATCTCTGATCGGAGCCCTTGGAAATGGGCTGCATCTGCATCATGTTTCTTAAGAAATATTTTTTGAATGGGTAGCATGAAAATATACCTCTAGTCAATGCTTTAAAAATATTCAACTATTAAAATGAATCTGGAACAACAGAAACCAGAATTTGCACAGGTTGAAGCTTTTAAGTGGGACTTAAATTTGTTTTCCACATTCCTCCTGTCAGTCAGGCTCTCCCGGCACTCAGGCATGATCTCAGGCCATCTGCACATGTGCATGGTGGCTCCTCGCCTCTGTTCCTGAAACCTTTTTCTCTTTTCTTTCTGTCACTGTTCCCATTCCTCTATGTGGCTGCTTTTGTATCCTGTTATTATTGGATTTACTCAGGTTCCCTCCACAGACCTGTTAACACCTCCCCCTTATCCATGTCTACCGAATATCTTTCCTGTTCTTGAGTGTTCAGTCACCACTGCCAAAACTGTTCTGGAAGTAGCCTTGGTAAGTGGGCCAGCCCAGAAGACCAGCAGTTTCTGAAGTTCATAACGCCTTGAGCAAACAAATTATTTAATGACTCACTCCTTTTGTGACCCCTCATAAAAGAAAGAAAATTGTTATATGGTGAGAAAATGGAAGCAATTAAGTACTTAAAGTATTCAGTAATTGTTGAGATGGGTTTGGTCTGCACAAATGATTGCTTTGATGTTAGGAGAAGGATGATGTTTGTTAAGTGTAAGTTTTCATTAAAAGAAATGTATCTTCATTAGAAAAATTCAAAGAGTTAAAACCCTTCTAATGGTTAAATTGTGCACTTAATTCTAATTATAGCCCTATGACATTAGTCCTTAACATAGTCACAATATTTTTTACACAGAATAGTACTTGATTTAGTAAAAAGTTTGAATTGCATATTTTTTAATAAGAATGTATTAGTACTTTTAAGCCCCTACAGTAACATGACATTAGTTTTACAGGAATCCTAAGCATCTGTACTAGGTAAGGATTCACTATTTTGATTTAAAAACTGTTGCACTTAACAAGTAGCTTGGACTTGAAAGTAATTTGTCTTAGTAATTTGCTCTATCAAGAAGAAAATTTTTAATTAGCAGAGATAAACATTATAGCTAAACCAAAAGTGAGCCTCTTCCTTTGTATTATGAAAAGCATTTGCACCAATAACATCATAGGAATAAAGTGAATGAAGTGGTTGGAGATGACTTAGTGTATTAATTGAAATAACATTAACAAGAGGGGGATATTCTGAATGACTGCTCTAGCATCTATCACTTGAACCACTAGGTGGCACCAGCTAGCTTTTTCCAAATATGTACGCTAAAGGAGGTATGTTTAAGACACTGGTTGAATTCCCACCATCTGTAAGCAATATCTGATACAACCACTACCAACATGTCTACATATTCAACCCATTTGTTTAAGGAAGGCTGTGTAAGGTGGTGGCTGTAGACAATAATATATGTTAGTACTTTGGTAAATTACTATAACTGCTTAAATAGCTATTGCTTCGTTGACAAAAATGTTAACAAATCAAGAAAAGACAAGGTACCATGACTTAGGAAAAAAAAAGCTGGTCTGAGTCAATTGCCCTAGTTCTGTTCTCAGCAATACCACCAGCTATCTTAGTATTTATGTTACTAAACCTCTCTGGTTACCAGTCCCTTAGTCAATAAAATAAAAGATAAGGACTAGAAGAGTTGATTTCAAAATTCCTTAAGTAGAAAGCACTTCTCTCCTACAAAATCCCTCAGAATTTTAATATGGAAAACAAATGAAAGCAAGGCTGAAAGGGAAGGGAATGGGGGTGGAATGTGAGAAGAAGGATACAGGGGAAGCACTTTCGGGTCTATTTCCCATCACTCTCCACAGTGTCCAACCCATGGTTCCCATGGTCCAGAAAAAAATAATCTTAGAGACCAATGAAATAGACAATTACCAAGGTCCCTTCTGTTCCAGAGGTCTGATCCCAAGTATGTGCAAATTCTTTAAAAATTTTCCCCTTTGCCCAATTCCAGGATATAGTGTAAATATTGCTTCCTCAATTTTATAAATAAGTAAACTGAGGCTGAGTAATGTCATATATTTCTAAAAGTCACCTGGACATAGGATAATCAGGACTTCTGATCTCTTTTTAAATCAAACTTTTTATTTTGAGAAAAGTATAGATTCATATGCAGTTGTAAAACCTCAGACAGAAAAATCCCATGTACAATTTACCCAGTTTCCTTCAATGGTAATATTTTGCAAAATTGTAGTACCATATCACAACCAGGATACTGACATTGAGACAGTCAAGATACAGGACAATTATACGGCCACAAGAATCCCTGTGTTCTGCTTTCAAAGCTATACATGTTTCCCTCCTGCCCCCACTCCCTCCTGAGTTCCATGGAAACCAGTAATTTGTTCTCTATTTCTTTAATGATCAAGAATGTTATAGAAATGGAATAATATGGCATGTAACCTTTTAGGATTTATGTTTTCACTCATAAGTCCCTGTAGATTTTTCCAGACCATTCTATGTATCAAGTATATGTTCCTTTTTATTGCCGAATACTATTCATAACATGGATGCACTACAGATTTCTAACCATTCACTCATTGAAGGACAACTGGGTGTTTCAGTTTTGGGTTCTTATGAGGAAAGCTGCTGTATGTATTTGTGTACAATTTTTTCTGTGAACATAAGTTTTCATTTCTCTAGGATAACTGGCCAGGAGTGCAGGTGTTGAGACCTAGTTACGTAGTTTCCATGTTTAGCTTTTTAGGAAACTGCTGAACTGTTTTCCAGACCAGATATGTCATTTACATTCCCACCAACAATGTAGGAGTGGTCCAGTTCTTTCTAGCCTTCTCGCCAGAATATGGTGTTTGCATGACTTTTTTTAGTTTTAGCCATTCTAATAGGTGTGCAGTGATATGTCATTGTGGTTTCAGTTTACATTTCCTTAATAGCTAGTAATGTTAAACATCTTTTAATGTTCCTATTTGCTAACTGTCTGTTCTTTTTTGGTGACATGACTCCTCATGTCTTTTCTTCATTTTCTAATTGGATTTTTGTAAACACTAGTCTTTCTCCTCATCCTCTTAACAGGATCTATCACAGAGCAGAAGCTTTTAATTTTAATGAAGACCAGTTTATCAGTTTTTTCTTTCATGGATCATGTTTTTGGTGTCAAGTCTAAAAATTCTCTTTCCATCTCTAAATTTCAAAGATTTTTCTTCTCCTTTATTTTCTAAAAGTTCTGTAATTTCTTATTTTACATTTATGTCCATGATCCATTTTGAATTAATTTTTAGTTAAGTTCTGTGGTGTGGAGATTCTTTTTTTTCTAAATGAATTTCCAGTTGCTTCAGCACTAGTTTTAAAGAGGCTGCATTACCTCCACTGATTTCCATGTGTAACCTTGTCAAAAATCAGTTGGAGAAAATGGGGGAAAAAAGATGGCAGAGTAGGAGGGCAAGGCAGACACTTCCTCCCACACACACCAAGGAAGCAACTAGAGTAAATA